GGACCGTGGAGTATTCGATAGTGAACTCAGTGTGGTGACGAATTGAGCATGAGAATATGGGGTTATAAGAGAGTATCATGTGACTGTGGAGAGGCATAACATACATGAGTTAGAGAGAGAGAGAGAGTATCGTGTGACTACGGAGATCCGTAGTATACATGAATCAGAGAGAGTATCATGTGACTACGGAGAGCCTTAGCATGCATGAGTTAGAGAGAGAGAGAGAGAGAGAGAAAGAGAGAGTAACATATGACTGCGAAGAGCCGTAGCATACATGAGTCAGCGAGAGTATCATAACACTGCGGGGAGCCATAACATTCGTGATTCAGCGAGAGAGAGAGAGAGAGAGAGAGAGAGAGAGAGAGAGTATTATAAAATTGCAGGGAGCCGTAGCATTCGTGAACCAGCAAAAGAGAGAGAGCGAATATCGCCAGACTGCGAGGGCTGTAGCATTCACGAGGCAATGACAGAGTGTTATAGGACTACAGGGAGCCATAGCACTTGTTAATTAGTGAGAAAGAGTGTCGTATAACTGCGGGGAGCTGCAACCTTACTAGTCAGGGTGTGATGCAGAGCCGTTCTTAGGCCTGGGTAGCCTTACTAGAGAAGTCTATGAGAAACTGGTGGTCAAACCAAGGGTGAGACGGGGGTCTCGGTGGTGGTAAAAAATAATTGTGTTTTGAGATTAAGAGGCGTTGTTGCGAATCGGACAAATCGAGGTGTAAGGCATACGTAGAATCATGGAACATGGGTCATGAGTTGAGTGCTAGATTGGGACGAGTGGTTCCAATTCTGTGTCGGACTAAACTCTGGTGGGTGAGTTTGGCTCTATCTTTGTGGAAAACGAGCAGGTTGGGATTTCGGGTGGATCTCATTCTGAGAGGGATGTGTTTCTGTCCGATGTTTTAGACTTGAGCAGGCTAGTTCGTTGGTTTGGGAAGGACCATGAGACATACAGAACTAGTGAGTAGTAGACGACAGAGGTTACTGGTGAGGCGAATTCAGAAGGGGATGGTAGTGTTCGCGTGAGGTAAGGTGAACTTCGTGACTTTGCATGTCACATGAAGGGCTGAGATAGCTATTGCAAAAGGGAGTTATAAAGTTGACTTGTTGGGTGGGCAATGAGTAGCCCTTGGAGGTCCAACTGTTGGGTTAGGAGTTAACATGGTGCTCAGTATCGAAAGGAACATCTGATAGGAACTTGGGCTTATGATTATGGGTGTTAGAGGATTGTTCCGAGATGGCATGACCACTTCCTGGGGTCTGAGGACAGAGTTTTGAGGATCAATCCTTCAGAAGAGTTCTGATAGCTATTCAGGCAGTGGGTCCTTGGTGGGATATGACCATTTTGTTCCTTTTTAGTTACGACCGGGATCGATTAGACAATCAGGATTGGTAGAGTGTTCTTAGAGTCTGTTATTCGATAAGCGATTAATAAGAAGATATCTTGTGATGGTGGTTTAGCAGGGAGACAGACCACTATAGTTTCCAAGTTCTGGAGAGACAAAACGAGTACAACAGCGGCAGAAGGGTATGTCCTTTTTGGGATTGGGAGTTCATGTTGGGTTCAAGTGTCTATGGAGGAGATTGTTGTATGATATGAGGTCCTTTTGGTGGTATTTCTCAGGTTATGGGGTTCGGTCTATGTGTTGATAAAGAGCGACTTCGAAGGCAAAATCTAATTCAAGTTCGGGAGAATTGTAACATCCTGTTTTGGATCGTCCGTGATTTAGGGTTCGTGGGCTGCAACTCGGGCATGAGGAAGTCTCGGGGCTGCGATGAGCTGCTAGAAGCGTAGGGATTCTCGTCGAATTTCCGCGGATATAAGGTTCATTGGAAACAGACTTATAACGAGGGAGCTATGGTAGTTTGAAATTTAGGCAATATAAGTCCCTTATTTGAGAAAGGTTGCAGCTTGAATCAACCCATGCATGAGATATGTGCATTTTGAGATGAGAAAATGAGACTTTTGCGTGTTTGTGACTTTCGTAGCCATGCAAGGGCTTAAAGTCATGAACTTTATGAAGTAAGAGCCTTTAGGGAGTCCAGATCTGAGATACGAGCTAAGGTCTTAAAGGGTTAAGACCAATAGAGTGGATTAAGCAAAACTAGGCGTACGCCCAACGTAATTCCAATACGCCCTGCGTACTGGGTTGGTGCCCCTGATCAAATTTCGTGCATGCTTATGTACGTTGACCGTACCAAGGGAGGTACTCCTCGCGTAACCTCACTGTTGAATTTTTGGCTAAGTCTCATATTGGGCCCTAATTATTGGGCCTGGAGTTTGGGCTTGTTGTACTAGATATTTGGACCAGAGGAATATATAATATATATATATATATATATATATATATATATATATATATATGTTCCTTGGGCCCTTGTGTTGGGCTTGCCACGTGGACTTGAGAGTCGGGCCTCGGGAGAGCCCATTTATTATTGGGCCTTGGTGGGCCTAATGGGTTTTAGGTTATTTATGGGCTAGTTAGTGGACTACCTTTAGACCTAATGAGCGAGGTTTGTTCTCAGATCTTAATTGGGTAATTGTGGGTTTTTGGTTCAATGTTAGAGGTCGGTGTGCAACAGCAACGTCTATAGGAGTTGTTCATCATCCAAGGTGAGTCTTCTCACTATACATACCGAGAGTGGTAATCTAATTTGTGTGACCAGAGGGTCTTATGTGCTTATATTGAGTATTGTAATATCCTGCATTATGTCTATGTGATTTATGTTGTGTATTATTCTAAGCTTACTACGTTAGGACTGGAGGGTCCATCTGAGTTAGGATTGGAAGGTCCACCCGAGCTGTGGGACCGCAGGGTCCCACTGAGACACTTTGACCAGAGGGTCTTACTGAGTTATAGCCTCGAGTGGCTAATTAGCTGTGTGTGGTATTTTGGGGAACTCACTAAGTTTTGTGCTTACCGTGTTATGTGTTATATTTTTCAGGTTCTTCACAGGATCGTGGGAAGGCACCGGTTTGATTGTACACACGAGAGAAAGAGTTATGTTTTGAGGATCATGGGTTATTGTTGCATTTTGTTAATGAGATAATTGAGATTTTTGTGAAATGTGTTATGAGAATTTTGTAATTATAAAAATGAAAAACTTGTTTGAAAATTTACGGTGTCACAAATCGAACCAAACTATCCATACACACCCTACCACATGAAAAAGAAAACATGAAGAAATAAAATACCAAATGATGATGGAGTTTATTCGGTTAATCCAAAAGGGAAGAGGTGTTAGACCATTTAGAATACCCACCAATAACCACTAATATGGTGCGTGTCACCTCATCATCACGCACAACAACTAAACGTTGGTATATCCACCGCTACATTCCTTTTAGTTTTTGATTATTTAAATAAATAATATATATACTTTAGTTACTTAAAATGTGGAGAAATATAGAGATAAAGAGACATAGAGAGAGAAAATATAATAATTGGCTATGGTCGTTCATTTTCCCCACCGTAAATGACCATGAAATGTCAAACCACTAGCAACCCCTAAACACCCAAGATGGTGTTCACATTTGTGGTTTGTGACCACCTAGACTATGAGGAGTTTCGTGGCGAAGATATCGATTCATCTTAGGGATCTAGGATATCATGGAGTGAGTGCATTATATTGTTTAAGTATTCTTTTAATGTATAGGTTGGTATATCCACCACTACATTATTTGATTATTTAAATAAAGAGTGTATATACTTTAGTTACCTAAAATGTAGAGAGTGATATAGAGATAAAGAAAGATACAAAGGGAAAAAATAATAATTGGCTATGATGGTTCATGTTCCTCATCGTAAATGACCATTAAATGCCAAACTAATAGCAACCACTAAACATTTGAGATGGTGTTCCCATTTGTGATTTGTGGCCATCTAGACAACCTAAAGCTTCGTGGCGAAAATACCGATTGGTCTTAGGGATCTAGGATATCATCGAATGAGTGCATTCTAGTGTTTAAATATTATTTTAATGTATGTAAATTTAATAATAATAATAATAATAATAATAATAATAATAATAATAATAATAATTTTAAGTTAAGTTAAAATTTTAAATAATCTGAAATTTACAAAATAGACGTTACAAAGTATCCTCATTCATACATCATAAATGATATGACCAACCAAAATCATATGAAAAACAACTATATATGATTTTGAAAGTTCTAATTTGTTATATTTTTTATTTACTAGTTACTTGCAATGAGACATATAATTCATAATATTATAAGTGCTATACCCGTATAACTTTCTCGTAATACTATAGGTGACTTTTTATTTTTATTTTTTTAACTGGTAAAGAAAGAAATAACACATTTCCAATCATTTGTTGTATTATGCCCTTGTATCGGTTTACTTTGTATTTCATATGTTTATGAAATCAAAAGTCAAGATATGCAATTTGCTAATCAAAATATCGTTAGTGAATTATTAATCTATAATGTGTAACTTTAATTTTAATTAAACATAACTTACGTGATTTTAGAAAAGTAAATAAATTATGGATAGTTGAAGAAATAAATATTATAAAATAATAATATTCAAGAAAAACGTTTTTAAATTATTTTTTACGACACTAACAATGATGACATAGCTTTGTAAAAGAGACTTTAATTCTTATTTTACAAAGAATTTTGCAAGTTAATATTATATTCCGTTCATAAGTCTAATTTATATTTTTTGTTTTTTGTTGTTGTATGGACTAGCACATACAATCTCCCAAATTTTTTTAACTAATAGAAATATTTAGAATTAATATATGTAAGAGATAATCTTCGGTTCCTGCTAATTTGGCAACTTTCAAGCAAAGATTATTTATACATAGATAGATACTTAAAAATAGGTAAACATATAGATAAAGGGTTATGCAACCCAAATGCAAAAGAAAAAAAATACAAACTTATATATTCTTAAAATACGTAAATATATAGATAAAGGGTTATGTAAGCCAAATGCAAAGGCCGTCAACATTGGATTTTAGGGTATTTATGGCACAAGAACACCATTATACTTCTCCATGGCCTCTCGACTGTCAATGGTGTTTGATTCGAAAGAAGTTTGGGTAGTTGTGCCCATAAATCCAGGCCTTGCATATCGCCTTACGGGTTCGATTGGTTGTGCATGGAAGCCGGAATTACGGGCTCCACCTGTTTGTGTTGGGCCTGAACGAGATGAATAATTCACCGATTCTGTTATAAAACTTAAGGCTTCATTGATATTATTGGTGGAGGTTGTTAGAGGATGATGTGTCATTGGTGGACCAGCACTCAGCCAATGGATATTTGGGACCATAAAGTTTCCACTCCTAACATATCGACTACCTTCTGAGACAGGGCTTGAATGATGATGCTTATTTGGGCCCAGGGAGGTCTTAATCAAGTCACCTTCTTTTGAGGGATATGTAGGCTTCAGACTTGTAGGTTGGTGCTTATTTGTATCTGGAAAATTTTGGATTTTAATCTTTTGGCCTTCTTCTGATGGGTAGTTATGAGTTGGGCTAGTGGGTCGGTACTTATTTGGGCCATACATGTTTTGAGTTTTTATGTTGTGACCTTCTTCTGTGGGATAACTATGTGTCGGGCTAGTGGGCCGGTACTTATTCAGGTCAGGCATGTTTTGGGTTTGAATCTTATAACCTTCTTCTGGGGGATAACTACGTATCGGGCTAGTGGGTCGGTACTTATTTGAGCCTGATGAGTTTTGGGTTTTAATATTATGTCCTTTTAAGGGGTAGCTATGAGTTGGGCTAGTGGGTTGGTATCTATTCGAGCGAGCCATGTTTTGGGTTTTAACATTGTGACCTTCTTCCGGGGGATAACTTTGTGTTGGGATAATGGGTTGGTACTTATTCGACCCGGATGAGTTTTGGGTTGTGGTATTATGGCCTTCTTGTAAAGGGTAGCTATGAGTTGAGCTAATATGTTGGTACTTATTCGGGCCTAACACGTTTTGGCTTTGAAAATTGTTGTTGTGGTCTTCTTCCAAGGGGTACCTATGAGTTGGGCTAGTGGGACGATACTTATTTGGGCCCGACAAGTTTTCAGTTCTAATCTTGTGGCCTTCTTCTGAGGGATCACTATGAGTCGGGCTAATAAGCTGATAATTATTTGGGCCTAGAAAGTTTTGTGCTTTAACCTTGTGGCCTTCTTCTGATGGGTATGTATGAGTCGGGTACTTATCTTGGCCTGACAAATTGTGGGTTTTAATCGTGGGACCTTCTCCTGAGGGATAATGATGATTTGGGCTATTGGGTCGAACCTTATTGGGTAAGTTTTGAGGTTTAATCTTGTGGTTTTCTTCTGAGAAGTAACTACGAGGCATGCTACGAGACATGCTAGTCTGAGTGGGTCGACTTGCACCAAGTTGGACCTTGCTGAGAAACTTTTCCATAAGATTCTCACGTTTGTGGTACCCAGGCGGGCTCAAGTCCTCATGATCTGACCCATAGTTTGGGTCATAATCTTCGTAATGGTCCTTCAATGCGTATTTGGGAACGTATTCCTTGAAAAGCTCTATTTGGGGAGGTGCACTACCAACGTTATTGTACCTGGTAATTGGGCCATGACGCCGCTCAACGGTCGTGGTTTCAACCACATAGTAATTAGCTGCTTGTTTTGGCCCATAATCATAGCCACCTTCGTGAGTTGGGACATTGGTGTAAGTTGAGTAGTCTTTGGTCACATATGAATACTTATCCATTTCTTCGTTGATTCAAAAGTATTAGTGTGCTTTTTTTGGTTTGATTTGGCTATGGATCTAAATGGATGAAACGATATATATTCTTATATACTACAAAAACTGGATGCAACTATATTTGCAATAGTGACACACTTTTAAGATTGGAATTTCATTCCAAGAATCCAATTCTCCACAATGTTTTATGATGGAAGGTGAATTCGAACATGTTCCGATTTACCGGTCCTTATAAAATTTGATATTTACCATAACTATCGGCACCCGAATATTTCTTATTTCATTTCAGTAATTGATCTTTCATACACCGATCGATATAAGACATCTACAATATTGTACACATAGAGTCTAAGGCAAATTATATCTTAAATACGACTTAGATTTAACACTGAAAAAAAAAACATAGTTGGATTTTGGTCATTCTTGATGTTTTTAGGCTTGCTTATGTTATCGGATTATTATTATGGCCCAAAAGTTTCTAACCATAATGGATGTCCATCTAAGCGAGAACCAGGTGCTTGTCCTTGGGCAAGATCATGTCAGTTTAGGTGTAGTGGGCCTTGAATACATATTTGCCCAATTAAAAAAAAAAGTTATAAATCCTGTTTTCTTTACACTCCTACGTCTATCGTGTTTGCAGACGATAAAGTTCATGGTTCTTGAATTGTACAACTCGTGCACTTAAGGATGCTTTATTGAGTTGTAAATTTTCAAGATGATATTCTTCTGGTAGGTTAAGAAGAATAGGATTTTGTTTTGGGTCGAAATCGGACATATTCTCAGTTATCAGCCTCGTGTGTGAAACTTTGTTTTTATCAGCAAGTCTTTATTGACAAATAAATAATGGGTGGTTATAAAAAAGAAAAGATTCTTTTAATTTTTTGGATTATATTCCTGATAAAAAGAAGATAGTTATGACATAAAGAACTCATTCGGCTTGTCCGCAACAGTCATATACTTCTAATGCTTATTTGATTTTACAAGATATATAATTTTTTTCTATGAATTTAATTAGAAAAGTATTTCATTGTTATTCAACCAAAACACTTATAATTCAAATGAAAGAAAAAGATCTTATAAATCCAAATCTACACAAAGGGGAATCTTAAATGAACCATCCATTTGTGTGTGGGTGTAGTTTCAGTATATTGATCTTTACAAACACGTACCATAATTATGGTTTTTTTAATAATATCCTTTGTAAAAATGACTACGGAAAAGTTGTATATACTTTGTTTTACAATCCCTTTTCAAAAAAAAAAAAAAATGATTTTCATAAAATAATTGAAGTATAAATTACAAAACGAAAAAATCAATTGAGCGAAAGTTGTTTAAAGAAATTTACAGGTCTTAAATCTACTTTAATAAATAAAGATTTTTTTGCCACTTATTATATTTTCCTTTAATTTGACAAATATTATTTTTGTGGTTAATTTGCATTAATTTTTATTCATTTTATGTTTTTTCTATTTGAATAATTTCACATAATATTTAAATACAATAATAAATGCATATTAATTTTCTTAATGAACTTTGTTTTTAATTTCAAAATTACTAAATTAAAGCTTCATTAATTTTCTTTATTTATTTATCTAAATTATTTGTTTAAATTTAGAGAAAAAACACTTTAATTTTTATAATTCAATATTTTTCTTATAAATTCAAACTTCTTAAATGTTTAGAATTTTATACTTTAGTTTTTTATTTTAAATAAACTCATATAATACATGAGTTTCATACCTAATTTAAATCATATATGTAAATATCTCAAGTAAATTATTAAGAGCATCCATAATGAGAAGTTTAATGGAAGAGTTGAATGAGATGATATGCTTATTTGTTATTTGTCATTCAATGGATACAACTCCATCATTGTGAAATGCTACCTTGGCATTCAATAGATTTGGAGTTCAATGACCATTGAACTCTTCAATGGGAAAAGAAAAATCTTTAAATTTTTAAATAAATATTTTTTTAATATGTTTCATTAAACTTGTAAAGTTTAATGCATTGTGGGATAAAAATGAATAGAATTGTATGATATAGTGAATGATGATACGCATTGTGGATGTCCTAAGTATTATTCATATTTATTATTCATATTTTTTGGGGGTACTCTAGTTTTAGGTCTTTACTTCTTTTTTCTTTTTGTTAAAAAAAAAAGAGTAGTAGGAATGGGGTTGAATCATATAGCTGAATTATATATGAATGGATGACTTTTTACAACCAATCCTAGCTGACTTTTCTTTTGTCTTCATTTTATTGTCAACTAAACAAAAGTTAATGAGTCTTGAAAATATAAGTAACCCTCATTTTAATGAAACTGGTCAAAGCCACCAATGCCAAGAGTCAATTGTAGTACATGCAATCCCCCATAATTCCCATTTTTCAATAACCCTAATCAATTTCTTGAAACCAATAAATCTTCTATTATAATAGAAACTGAACTTCCCTTTGTATGTTCACACGTGCATGTACACACCAACATATATTAATGTACATGTATGTTTACACATATTATGTATGTTTAATTAGACATTGTATCCATGTACCCATCATAACTTCACAAGTATGTAAGAAGGTGTTTATATGAAGATTTAGGAAACTGAATTCGAAGGAGAGTAAATAAGGTAGATGATATTTGACTGTTCATTGTAATATCTTCTGTTTTGCAAAAGTACGAACAACAAATATGTAAACTACGTACGGTTTGTTAGGATAAGTAAATTTTAATGGGTTATGAATATATATTAAAGCAAAATTAAACAAACCTACGTTTTAGAACTTGTCCAAGGTCGCTAATTTGTACACTGTAATGTTTCTCAACATTTTAGCAAAAATGGTTATTTCCAAAGAAAGCTAAGATGGTTTGAAAAGCGAACAACTTGAGTAGATGTATCGTTGTGTCATTTAACACATTTCTAGTTAATTCACTAAGCAAGCTAAAAAATGTTAATTTTTGGGTTTCAAATATTAATCAATACATTTAGATAATTCAATGATCGTGTATATAAAATACTTTTTAAAATCTGTGATTTCGACCCTACTGTTTAGGGTATCATGAAATCCGATTTGGGATAATCCAAGAAAGAATAAATATGAATTTCACACCAAATCTGAGATTCAATTATAGAATACTTTAAAGTGCGTTTAGTTGCGGAAAAATGAGCATTTTTCCAGAAAATTTTTCCAAGAAAAATGAGAATTTTGAAAACGCGTTTAGTTCATCTATTTTTCTAAAATTTTCACGGAAAATGAAAATTTTATGTCTTCTAAAATTTCAAAGAAGTTGAAATTTTTTATAAAATTGATAATCATTGCTTTCCATATTTTTCTAATGACAAAATTGCAAAAATGGTCCCTGTGGTATGCAAAATTTTGGGGTTTTAGTTCAAACCACGAGTTTTTTGGAACCATAGTCCTTTTGGAGTGGTTTCTATATGGTTTTGGTCCCTGGACTTAACTCCCGTTAAGTTGGAACTGTTAAGCCCCCTCACGTGCCTCACACGTGAGGGTAATTTCGTCATTTCATATGTTAGGGACCATTTTTGCATAAATGTTTTTTTGGATTAATTCCTTTTAAATACCCCCACTTCCTGCGATCTTCTTCCCCAACGTCTCTTTTCTTCTACTCTTCTTCTTCTTGAGCTCTGCTACAACAAAAATGGTGCTATGTTTTTGTGGAAAAGTTGCTGTGGTGAAAACGTCTTGGACCCCTTTGAATCCAGGAAGGAGATTTTTTGCATGCCCTATGAATGATTCCGTTTGTGGGTTTATTGGGTGGCTTGATCCCCCAATGTGTGCTAGGTCTAAAGCCATCATACCTGGTCTGCTAAGAAATTTGAATTCAGTGCAGGAACGGTACAATGAGTTGGTTAGAGGTATGAACATGCTACAGGATCAATGCAATGGACTGATAGGCAAGAACAACATTTTGGTGGCAAATGTCAGAGCATTGAAGGATGATAATTTGAAGCTGAAAATGTACATGTTTGGAAGTTGGTTTTTCTTTGTGATTGTATTCTTTTATATTTGGTTTGTGTAGGGGTATACTCTGAAGGGTGTTTTGGTCATTTTGTTGTAATTTTATGTGATCAAGTTTGTAGTGACTTATGATGATAATGATATATGTACAATTTTATGATGCAAGTGTAATGAATGTTTTACCAAAATGGTATGAATGTATAAGAATTAACATATGAATAGAAATGGTATGAATGTGTTACCAAAATATATATATTAGAACCAATTGTACATAACCAAAATGCACATTTCATTAAGATTTGTAATATAACAACCAAAGTTTCTAAACATAACAACCAAAGATTCTAAACATTACCAAAAGGGACACATTACCATACCTAAGATAACAACCAAGTTTTCATAACAACCAACCAAAAATTTTCAACAAAATATTGTAAACATAACAACCAAGTTTTCATAACCAACCAAAATCACAGAAAACTCCATGCATGCATGACACATTACTTCTTGGATTGATTCCCACCTTGCCCTTTACAGGTCCTAGAGTTGTGTCCCTTGTTCTTGCATTTGCTACAAGTAACACTGATATGCTTCCTTGATAGCTTCTGCACTCCATCATTTGTTGGTTTTTGGGAACCTCCTTCTTGTGCAGCATTCACTCCATCACCTTGACTTGCCTTCTGCTTTTTGCTTAACCTTTCACCCTCACTTTGTCTTCTCTTTTTCTTAGGCCTTCCCACCTGAGTGCGATGTGGAGGAGGGATTAGCTTTGTGGGACATTCACTTTTGGGCCACATGGATCTACCCTTAATTGGCTCCACCTTAAAAGAATAAGCCTTTTTCCATGTCTCTAGAAAATACACCTTGTGAACCCATTTGTAAATGTCAAGCTCAGCCTCTGGGTCTTTACTCATCTCATTCAGAGTTGCAATTGCATGTCTGCATGGAATTCCAATTAATTCCCATTTTCTGCAAGTGCATGTTTTGTTCCTAACATCAACCACATGTTGATCCTGCAAAGCTCCTGTGACTTGATACTTGTCTCCCCCATTCCACCTAGCAATGTATTGTGAAGCAACTGTTTTTCTTGCAGCTAGGATGTCTGTTGCTGTGGGTGTTAGTGGACCTTTAGCCTTTTTCATTTCCTTCATGACATTGCATATCCTCTTCATTAGATACTCCCTTATGAATTCTAAACATCCAATGACAGGTTTATCCCTTCCTTTCTCTATCTTCCCATTAAACACTTCACACATGTTTGATATCAACACATCAGAAACTGCTCTTCCTGTGTGTAAATTACAATTAAAAAACATTTAATACAATTCACATACAAGTAAAACAGTTCACTAAGTGAAAGACATAAGGACCAAATTGGAATATATAGATTTACCTGAAAAATGACTCCTTGCCCAATGTTTAGGAGGAATTTGCTTCAACCATTCACATGCCTCCTTATCATACTGACTAAACTCCTTCATCAAATGTTCAAACTCAGGAATGGTGGTAGCTGATGCACACCTCCATAAGTGGTCCCTGTACTCTGTTTGCCTCCATCTTTTCCTCATATTGTCATGAATATGTCTGATACAATATCTATGCTCAGCATTGGGAAAAATTTGCTCAACTGCAGTATGTAAACCCTGCAAAAATTAATTTCAATCATTAGAATTAACTTACAACCACACTTTAAATGACCAAATGTATAAAAACTACTTCCAACTTTACCTTTTGCCTGTCACTTATGAAAGTAAAATTTGAGTTTCTTCCAAGGTCCAAGTCATCCCCAAGGTTATCTAAAAACCATTTCCAGCTTTCTGTGTTTTCAGACTCAACAATCCCATATGCTAATGGGTAAATTCCATTATTGGAATCAAGACCAACTGCTGAAAGGACTTGCCCAGGGAATGGTCCTTTCATGAAGGCACCATCAAAACCTAATAAGTCCCTAAGGCATGCCTTGAACCCTTTTTCAGTGGACCCAAGCACACATAAATTCTTCTAAACTGCCTAGTTGGGGAATCAGTGTTAGGCTCAGAACATACATCTGTTTTCACTGTGGTGTCTGGGTTGGTGGCTTGAAGTTCGAGAACATAGTCCCTCAACAGTTCATACTGCTTTGTGTAGTCACCAGTTATATGCTTTCTTGCCTTATCCTTTGCCCTGAACACCTTGTCCATACTAACACCCACTTGGTAGGTCTTTTGAAAGTGATCTTGTATGGCTCTCAAAGGTATATCTGGATTCGCCTCAACTTGATCAAAGATTTTCTTGCTGATTAAAGAAGCAGTACAAGCCCTGAGTTTCCTTGTTTGCAAACATGTGTGAGTTTGGTTTAAGGTCCTTATAAACCAGTCGGATTCAGGATTTGACCTAGATGCATGAATGTACCAACCACATGTTACTTTTTGTGTCTTTAATTCTTTACCCTTTCTTTTTGAAGTGGTAGCTTGACTACCCACTTGGCCTTTATTGGTGACAGGTACAACACCTCTACACTGTGCCCTAAGCCTTACATTGTCATTTTTTTTAAAGAAAAGATTCCTTCTTGATTCTAGTGCATGCAGATCAATTGCCTCCTTTAATTCTTTTTTACTATTAAATTTATCTCCAACTGAAAAAGATTGTTTATGTACTACCCCAAGACTGCACCTTTTTTCTTTTCTCAAATTCTTGATAAGAGCTCTTCTCTCTCTGTCTTGGTCGGATCCTTCATCCAAAGATTCAAATTCCTCATTGTTAATCACTTCCATATCTTCAGGTTCATGCCCATGAACAACATTTATACAAGAACCTTCCACATCACTTTCAACATTGAGAGTGAAGTCTCCCATGTCCACATCCACATCCTGTATATTGTTGTCAACATCCATTATGTCATCCATATGATCTTCATCTTCTATTTGTCTCTCATCTTCTTCATACTCTGGATCACTATTTTCAGATTCATCATACTCTTCAAAATTTGGATCACTTTCTTGAGATTCATCATCCTCTTCATACTCTTGATTACCCTCTTCAGATTCTCCATCCCCTTCATACTCTGCATTATCATCATCACTCCCAATCAAATTTTCCATAAGGTTATCAAATAACTCATTCAATTGTTCATCAGCATTATTAACAGGGGGGTGTTGTAGCCTTCTTCATCAAAAGTTGATGCCTCTTGAACAACATTTGCAGCCTCCCTAACACCATCCATCTCATCAATATGAACACAAGTTGCTGCCTCCTGAACATTAGTTGAACCATCCAGATCATCATTCTTTTCCTTTGAAATGTGAACAACCTCATCAATATAATCTAAATTAAGCCTCTTGCTACAAGAATTTCACCTATTTTGGAATTCCCAACCCTACCCCTTCTATACTCTGGTGAGAAACTATCATTCTTACTCCCAAAAAGAATCAGAGACATGAACTCACCAATAGGCTCACCATTACCATGGTTCACATTTTTCATTGGAGAATCTGCATGAACTTGACCCTCAACTTCAGCCCCTTGATCATCATTTTCTGGTAATTCCTCAATGACAACTTTACCCTTTGCATTTGGTGACATGAAGTAAGTCAATAAATTTGTCTTTCCATGCTCTGTGTACACCTCAATCAGCTTGTTATGTGCAATGTATTTAGAAAGGTTGATCACATCCTGATCATTCCCTAAAGCTCTAAGACCAAATTGAAAGTCACCATTGGGTATCCTAAAATGGTAGTATATAACTGGGGATTCATCAGCGAATTCAGAATTCCGTGGGTCTGGGTAACCTAGGTCAAGCATTATGGCATCAAGTTCATGCACAGAAAACTCATCAATGTCCAGATAATCAACATAACGCACTTCACCTCCAATGTACTTTATATCAGGTAATTTAGTAAATTTCCCACCGTGATGAAGCTTAATACTAAACCATGTGGGTGCACCAGCTAAAAATCAAAATTATACATATTAACAAAGTTAAAATTTTGCATTTTTTTGTTCTAAATCAATAAGAAAATGCAAAGTATAAAAGTTAAAGAAAACAGAGCAGTTTACCATATACAGTTGATACATCAACAACTTCGTGTTTTGGTCTGATATGCCACATTACGAATACCATTTCGTATTAAACGTATGCCCTTATATGTGTAGTGTCGATTATCTTGTTTGGATAAGCAACGAGGGTTTTTTTGCAGGTTCAATGGAGCAGAAGCAAGAAGGAGGGAGTTGGGGAGTTGACGAGTGTTGGGGAAAGTAAATGAGGGGTAAATGTCAATTAATCCAAAAAAACGTTTATGCAAAAATGGTCCCTGACATATGAAATGATGAAATTACCCTCACGTGTGAGGCACGTGAGGGGGCTTAACAGTTCCAACGTAACGGGAGTTAAGTCCAGGGACCAAAACCACATAGAAACCACTCCAAAAGGAAGATGGTTCCAAAAAACTCGTGGTTTGGACTAAAACCCCAAAATTTTGCATACCACAAGGACCATTTTTGCAATTTTGTCTTTTCTAATTTTAAATTTTTTCTAAAATATAAACCAACACCCACGCCATTCACCTCTACCTACCCCCACGCTAACACCACCCCCACCCACCCACATACACACTGCAACCCACAAACACACACACACATACATACATACCCACCTACCCCCCCCCCCCACACACACACACTAACACACACACACACACTTACACGCACACACACACACACATATCCACCCACACCCACACCGCCATAAGCATATACACACATACATCCATCCCCACCCCGACAAACACACACACACAAACCTACACCTACCCCCACAAACACACAAACACACACACCCCACCCCCACAAACACACACACACACACACCCACCCACACACACATACCCACACACAATCACACACATACCCACCCACACCCACACCCCCACCCCCCACAAACACACACACAGACACACACATCCATCCCTATCCTCATCCCCACCCCCTACAAACACACACCCACACACACACACAAACCCACACTTACCCCCACAAACACACACACACACAAACCCACATCTACCCCCACAAACATACACACAC